TCCTCCGGTGAATCTAATTTGCTTTTGTCACCCCCAATACCGTCAGCAATTGTAGCAAAGTAATCAGCGAACAGATCTGCGACCCTGCTTTGATCTTTTTCTACGACATCGCCGTCAGTTCTAAGATGAATCTCGATATCAACCTGGTGACCCTTTGTTGATAAGTATGAACTAAATGTTTTAAAAAAGTCCCTTGGGTTTACTTTAGATCATCCGCTTTCTTTCTCCAATGTTCTTTGATCGCCAGACGTCTTTGCCTAGTGGCCTCATTTCTGCATTTCTTTTTGTTTTCCCAGTTTTCTTGGGTAGGATGGTTTTTTTATTTCACTGTAGCGCTTGTCTTGGCACGTATTGCATGCTTCCAACCTGTGGTCATATACGGTACGTCTTTGTCGCGGACTCTCATCTTTTTCAAGGGAAGCTGATCATCAACCACATTTCGCAACAGAGTACTCCAATAATAAGCTTGATCATCAATTTCGTAGAAGATTTCACCTACGTGCCAGGGAGCCATTGATAAACTTTCTTTAAAGAGACATTCATCAAAGTTCTTATAGCTTCGGAATGTTATGACTTTCGGCCGATGAGATAACACTTTGTCTTTCAAGATTCCATAAATTAGGCAGTGATCACTTAACGACGGGTGATAAATTCCGCTATGCTTGAATAGATCGGGTCTATTGCTCAACAATACATCAATTAGAGTACTGGTCGTCTTATTCCCACTGGTGGCGATACGTGTAGGTTGCGTAATAAGACATTCAAATCCTTGTTCCACTTCAAGGTTTAATAATAATTTACCTTCGCTTGTGTTAGGTTTCAGTCCATCCAGGTTTAAGTCACCCAAAAGTGTCACAAAATTACTTTTGAGATTAGCCCAGTTACAAATGTCACTAAGCTCGTTTTCCAGCTGTGTTTGATAGTCTCCTGAAAGAACTGTCGGTGGTCTGTAGATTCCAAGAATTACCATATTCCTGTTGTCAATCCTGATGTCGATGGCAATAGACTCTATTGTTTTATAACTCTTTTCTAACGCGAGTCTCTTGCAAGTCAATTTGGAAGATATGTACACCATTACTCCTCCACCGCCCTTTTTCCTATCATTCCTATACATCCGAAAGCCAGGAATAGAAAATTGACGATCTGGATAACTCTTGTCGATTTTGGTTTCGCTAACAAATATTATGTGTGTATTGATCTTTTTGATAATGTTTTCCAGTTCCTCGAGTTTATTTTGAATACTGTTTATGTTGATATGACAGACCAGAACATCGTTCTTGAGATGGTTCCGTAGAGATTCTAGATGGACGTTGTCGGAGTGATGCTCTTCCAATCCACCTTCTGTTGAACATTCGGCTGTAAATTGAGTTGTTCCACCTTGATAATCCTCGGCAATGATTCGTGTATTACCTTCATAAACTTCTTCGAAGAAGTAGTCCGTCAGTGGCGGAAGAACGCAGGCAGGACAAGTCCAATCAATATCAGGCTGTGCCGAGAAATATTGAGGCATTTAGCGTCTGACCAGTTTCCACATGTAGCACACAAGATGGCGTCTTGGTTATTTCTAACGGCCTTGTGACATTCACTGCATGGGTATTTAGACATCGACTTCTTCCCTTTCGGGCCAGGATTTGTGGCCACATCCCCGCACAAAAACAAGTCCCTTTCCAGATTGAAGCTGCTTGTTCCTTTGGCCGTGTATAGAACCCCCCGGGAAGTAAATCGTTTGGCACGAGATTTAAATCTTCCATGGTTTGTCGAATTTGAGACGAATTCCGGTGCTACAAGCATCTTTGAGACGCTTGTGGCCTGGTAGGACTCTGGAAAGTTGTCACCTATCCTTCCACGAATTAAAACTGCTGTTATAAACAGGAATATTAGAATTTGTAGTGAGCTCGCCCAGTTCGGTCCGGCCGCCATGATGGCGCACGTGTTCAAGAGAATTGGCTGACCGTACACCGACCGCCCGCCCGAGAGACCGTCCGTCCGCACCACAGGCATACCAATGTAAAATAACTCAATTAACAGGTATGACAACCCAAATGCAACTCGAGGTTCTTTCCGCGGGAAATCGCATAGCCACCAGCGTCTTGTAAAGCAGAGACAACAAAAGAGTCGATAAAGACGAAAACAGAAAGCGGAAATTGTTTCTGTATCCGTGTTGTCTAAAGTATTAAGCTTAGATAAATTGTCATGTCCACAAATTTGGAATATAGAGCAAGAGAAAGACAGAGACTGAAAGAGAAAGTGGGCGGCAGGCCAGCAAGACTCAACGAGAAAAAGGGCGACAGGGATTTAGAGTGAGAGATAAAAAACATGAAAATTTTGTAGCGGGGGTGACAAAATGAGAAATGCTAGCGGCCACCAATGCAAGGTGAAAATGAGCGGCAGTGAAAAAAAGTGAACGGGAACACGTACGACATTTCCTCCATAAAACGTGTAACTAAGAAGTTTCTGGAGGTTTCACATTGCAGTCGTGCAAAACAACGGCAGAGAAATG